TACGATCACTTTGTAGATAAAAACCCGTCTAATTTCACGCTGGCCTCGGTATCTGAGCAACATAATTATGACACAAGAAGTGCATCCCTGCAACACCTAAATCCCAGTAGCTTTAGAAAAAATTTAAGAAAATTCTGTCCAACAGTCATAGGATGCTGATATTGGAATGATAGTCCTTTAGCTATACGTGAAAAAGCAACTAAAAAATTGTTTAAAAGAGCACTTTTCAACTATTATCTTGCTCAGTATTAATCATCACCACACCGACTCTCAAATGTTAGATTTTTTATGTGTGTGTGTATGTGCTTTTCTTTTTTCCTCTCTTTTGAATATTTTTCATATATATTTCATAGTTTCTAGGGTTTATACTTCTCTTTTAACGTAAATAAAACTGTAATTTAATCAAAGGGCAAGTAATAAGTTTAACTATATCCTGCCCTCTCCATTTATTCTTGTAACCTGATATTTAATTCTACAAATAGCATCTTTAATTCTTCAATCTTGTAATACAATATAAATGGCTTGTAAAATAAATAAACAAATAAACAATATATAAAAAACAAACCCGTGAGGTGGGGGATAAAACTGTGGGTCTTGTGTGAGGCCAAGACTGGTTATGTTGTTAAATTCCAAGTGTACCTGGGAAAAGAAGGTGGAAATGTAGAGCACAACTTACAACTTAGCATGAAGGGTAGTGAAACACCTTATTACTCCAATTGAAGACAGGTTTCACAACTTGTACATGGATAACTTTTACTGTGACCGACATCTTTTTTTTGGAACTTGAAAACCAAGAAACTGATTGCCTGTGGAACCATAAGGGCAACTCGAAAGGGGAGAGGATATTGTAATTACAACTACCATGGAAAAATGATGAATCGTGGAGATTTCTTATGGAGCAGCCATGGTAACCTTGCTGACATGGCATGGTGTGATAAGCGTCCAGTGTATTTGATCTCCACTATTCATCCCCCAGAGAACATAGGAGCTCCAACTACAGTTCAGTGGCGTTCTCAAGCTGGCCCGCATGAAGCAATACCTTGCCCTCCAGCACAATGTGCCAACCAAAAGTACATGGGTGGGGTAGACCTCAATGACCAAATTCTTCAGAGCTTTTCTGTCATTTGCAAGTCAAAAAAAGCTTGGAAAAAACTTTTGTAATATGGAATTGAGCTTTGCCTGTTGAATTCATTTACTATGAACAAGAAAATGAAGCAATCACCTCAAGATATCCTTCTGTATCAAATTTCAATTGTTCGGCATTTGTTGGAGGCAAGGTCGAGCACGACCTGGTTGTCTACCGAGTCGGCCTCTAGCAGGTTTGGATGCAAAAAGGCTAAATAAGCAGTATCATCCCGTGGCTGTGGAAGAGAAAAGGCAAGATTGTGTGGTTTGTGCCAAGATTGTGTCAGTTCAGAACCTGAGCAGAGGCTCAAAGTCCAGAACAAACACTGTTTGTGTCACACGTGACCAAAAACCGCTCAGCATTCTCTTGCATCACAATTGTTGGGAAAAGTGGCACAATCTTGTGGAATACTGGCGATAGCTTTAGTGACCCATTGCTGTTTACTGAAATGGGACTTTGAACATAATTCTCCGCGTATCTACTATCATTGAGAACTGAGTTTGGTCATCAATGTTTTCATTCAGTTAGACAGCAGATGCTACTAACTGTTGCAAATGACTAGATTTATTTGCTTTGCACAAGTACAGGCTATCTAGTTGACTTGTGCTGTTAGAAAATTTATATGATGTTTTGCATTTTTTCGCATGTCAAAGAAATTCATATTTCTTGAAACTACAAACACCGGCAGCAAAATGCCCATAACTTTGGTTCCGATGGCGATATTTTGATGTAATATAAAGTATCTGAAACCTTATTTATTATGTTGTAATGGTGTTTCCCTTTATGACGGTATGGTGTTTTTTGAGAGTGAGAGCAACAAACGCCACATCAAACCAATTTTGTATTCAAATTTTAATTCGCTCAAAATATTTATGGCAGCATAAAAGAACTTTAACATGTATTCTTTATGGAAGGGGACTTTCTCCTGAGAAAAATGATACAGTGTAAATAGTTTATGGGTGGGCAACACTTAATGCTGAGAAGCTACAGCAAATTTGTAAACTAGGTTCAACAAAAAAAAATTTCCCCAGGAAATTGCCAATGAAAGGGTTAGAGCTGCATTTTTAGCACCAGTAACCTGAAGACTCTTACAAAGTACTTTCAAAAACCTGGTATTTTTGACATTGTGGACACAAAAACCTGCCTCAAATAAAAAAATCTGGCTTTGTCGTCATTAACAAAATTCAACGGGTGCAAAATTTGTGTTGAAAGTTGTTGATCCATTTGAGGTACAGCAGTTAGCAGCAGATAATTTCTGTCAGACCCCACGAAACAAAAGCTCTATCAGAAGTTTTTGCGAAACAGATGCGCAACAAATAAGAGAGTGTAAGAAACCTTGACTGCCGCTGCTGTTCGTTTGCTTTCGCCAGCCATAAGTACAGAGTAAATATGATGTAAAAGCCAGTTACCGGTACATGAAAATATAACTTTGTCGCCACTAGTAAGGCTCTCTTAAGAAGTGTGTGATAAAGGATTTTCACAAGTCACAACTTAACGTTATTTTTCCTTGGACATCCTTCAGTTAAAACAGCATTTACGGTAACTTTTGGAGATTAGAGTTGCTTGAAGTTCTCGTCAGAGAAGTCTCTTTTTGACATTAATTCAACTTTTGGAGTTCAGTTTTTTATAAAGGCAGTTCGAAATTTCTTTAATCACACAGTTGTATATTCCTATTCTTTTATGGACATTAAAAAGCTGTCTGTGCAATGAGGTTTGTCACAGTATACTAAAACAACAGTGTAGACTTAAAACATTATAAATTAGGAATTGTGATATACAGAATAACCAAGGTCTCTATAAGTGTTATCACAACACTTAACACCGACCTCTACCCTGATTATTCAGGATATAAAAAATTCACCAGTCCTATGGTACACTGGAGAACCTTCGACTGCAGATCAGTCTGATTTGCTGGTTACGCCTCAGACCAGTCGTAGTTACAATTAATTCCCTGTTGTACCTGTGTCAAGTGCAACCTCTGTGTTCTGTGTCTGTTCCAGTGCCTGAGGGCACTCCCTGAATGTTCTAGACATGCGTGTTTGTCTGTGTGAAGGAATCTCAGAATATTCCAAATTTCCGAACACCTTTGTTTCTCTCATGTGTAAGTTCGGCAAACTTGAGGATAGCATCGGCACTTTGAGCTGATTTACATGGAGCA